CAAGCAGATCGAGATCTCGTAGCAGTGATCATAGTAAAAGAAGATCACAGAGCAGAACTAGAGATCATTATTATTTAAAAAATAATTATGGAAGGAGATATAAGTGGGAGTATACTTACTATAGTAGAAACAAGGATAGAGATGGCTATGAGTCATCTTATAGGAGGAGAACTCTGTCTAGAGCTCATTATTCCAGACAATCTTCAAGTCCAGAATTTAGAATTCAATCCTTTTCTGAAAGAACAAATGCTAGGAAAAAAAATAATCACAGTGAAAGAAAATATTACTACTATGAAAGGCGCAGGTCAAGGAGTCTATCTAGTAATAGATCAAAGACTGCATCTACAGGTCCGGACCGGGTAAGAAATGAAAAGCCTGGAGGGAAGCGAAAATACAAAACACGACATTTGGAGGGTACTAACGAAGTGGCTCAACCATCTCGTGAGTTTACTTCTAAAGTAAAGGAAGGTCATTGCCAAAAATCTTCATCAAAATTGGGTGGAAATTATAAAAATGAGAGTGATAGTTTTTCAGATAGCCGATCATCAGACAGAGAGACAAAACACAAGAAGAGGAAAAGGAGGACCCGGAGCCTAAGTGTAGAGATAATTTATGAAGGGAAAGCTACTGATACAAATAGACATCATAAAAAGAAAAAGAAGAAACATAAGAAGAAGCATAAGAAACACCATGGAGATAATGCTTCACATTCCCCAGTTGTAATTACCATTGACAGTGATAGTGATAAGGATTCTGAAGTAAAGGAGGATATAGAATGTGACAATAGTGGTCCTCAAGACCCTCTACAAAGTGAATTTTTGGCTCCTTTGGAAACATTTGAAACTGAAGATATAGTTACAATAGAAGATGAAGTCAGTGTTCTGGACAAAGAGTGTGATATTACGACTCTTAACGACTTAAATAATGCCAACAGAACTGTAGATAATATTCCACTCCAGCCAGCTTCACTTGAACAAACTCTCAATGTAAGAGAAGAGAGCACCTTTGCTGCTGATTTGGAGAACCAGCCCAGAAATGTATCTATTCACAGTGAGTCATCAAGGCAATTGTCATCTCCACAGAAATCATTAATGCCAGTATGTCTTGGTGGAGACTATGATATATCTTAAAACTGCCAAAGCACCTCATTGAGAATTCTGATGCTATGAAAAGAAGAAAAAGGAAAAGTGTCATCTATTGCAATCTATATAAAGCTGAGTTTTGGTGAAAACTTTCTCCCTTAAAAATATTTTGTGATTTATTTTTTTTTATGTGTTAAAAATTTGTAAAAATTATTTGTTCAAAAAGTATGTCGCACCCTCAAATATGCACTTTTAAGTGAAGAAATTGTTATTGCTAGCAGTTTATTTAAAACTTGGGATCCTTTTTAAATAAAAATATATAATTTTAGAAGTTATTTCATAAAGCCATATGGTATTGACAATTTTAAAGTAGAGTATTTTTGAATTTTTTTTTTCTGAGAGTTATTCTGGAAGTGTGTTATAAACTAAGAGAATCTGTTTAGATAGTCTTTATTTTTCTTCTTAAAAATTTGTATGATTCCAAACCATTACTTAAGGTTAAATTGAGACATTTAATCTGCACAGTTTATCCTCTGCCAAAAGAATAGTTTAAATATTTCTTTTATATACTTGTTTATCTGATCTGCCAGTAAAAAAGTGTATAATCAACGAAAAAAAATAAACAGTAACACTTTAAAATCTAGAAATTTTCTTATATAGTGAGTGGCCGATAAATTTTTAAGTCAAACTATTTTACTGAAGAATAATTAAGGATATACTTGTGTTATAAATTCTGAATTTCAGGTGAGGTGCATTTCACAATTTTATTTTAGTTATTTAACCTGATTGTGAAAAGTATATTATTGGCCTTCTACAGAAAAATGCAGTTATGTGGCATTTAGCTTACTAAAAACAAACAAAAACCCTTGCCAGACTTTTACATTGGTAGTTCTTTTACACAAAGTGACTGTGTTTATGTTTTATCCAGTTTTAGAGATAAAAATTGCTCTACATCTATAGTGTGATGTAGGATTGCCAGTGAACAGCAGAACTTGGATTAAATCTAAATTTAGCCTTCAAATTTACCTTGCTACCATGTTCATTCATTGTTAACAGAAATTGGAATACTTGCTGTGTGATGGGTTCTGTACTAGGGATTCAGTGATAGAACAAAACAGATGACATATAACTAAGTTCTCTGGTGAGAAAGTATAATTTGCTCTAAAAGCATACAATAGGGCTCTACTCTCAGGTGGAACTGATGGTTGAACTGAAATCCAGTAACTAGGTAGACATGGAGTTGTTATGAAAGGAAAAGATGTGCAAAGGTCCAAAGGCAGAGGGAAGCCTGAAGTAGTCCAAGACTGGGTTAGCTAAAGGCCAAAGACTTTGGGGCCAAGCTTTGTAGGCCATGTTTAGAGTTTGTGTTTATCTTAAGGGCAGTAGGAAACTGGTTTAAAATGACAAGAATCTAACATTGATTTGACAATTTTTAATAAGTTGATTTTTAAGAAATTGATGACAAATTATGGGAAGACTAGTTGATCAAGGACTATATTTTAAAATTATAAAATGACTGTAGTTTTTCTTAAGTATTCACTAAAATCAGAAGTCAATAACCCTCAAATGTTTAGGAAATTCCCAATATTTGAAAAATAAACACACTTCTATAATTAACTCATAGGTTAAAGAAGAATTCACAGGAATAATATACACTAAAATCGCTTCTCGGCCTTTTGGCTAAGATCAAGTGTAGTATCTGTTCTTATCAGTTTAATATACACTAAAAAGGAATGACATTGAAAACAGCATAATATCAAGTGATGGGGATGCTAGAACTCAGCTGAGAAGGGAAATTTATAGCCTCAAATACTTAAATTGGAAAGAAAAATGTATAAAATTGGTAATCTAAACTTACACCTTAACAAACTAGTAAAAGCAAATTAAACCCAAAGGAAGTAAGAGAAAATAATGATTAGAAATGTATTAAATAGAAAATAAAATAATTTTTTAAAGTATCAAAGTCAAAGTTGATTTTTTTGAAAAAAAATTACTAAATTCTTGGCAACACTGATTTTTTGATCAGTAGGAATATAAAAATATGCCAATAAATTTAATAATTTAGAGGAAATGGTCAAATTCCTTAAAAAGCACAACTTACCAAAACTGACTTGATAAAATTTAAAATCAGAATTGCTGTATATCTAGTAAAGAAATTGAATCAAGGTATCTTCAAAGAAAACTCCAAGCCAAATAGTTTCGTTATGAATTCTCAAACATTTAAGAAGTATTACACAAACTCTTGACCAGCATAATCCTTACATTATAAGAAAAATAGACCAATATCTCTTATTAACACACACAAAAATAGCTAATTGCATTAAAAATGCTATATCATGACCAAATGGGATTTATCCCAGAGATTAGGTTGGTTTAATTTTTTTTTAAATCAATGGAATTTGCCCTGGTTGGTTTGGCTCAGTGGATAGAGCGTCAGCCTAAGGACTGAAGGGTCCCGGGTTCGATTCTGGTCAAGGGCACATGCCTGGGTTGCAGGCTTAATCCCCAGTGTTGGGGGGCATGCAGGAGGCAGCCTATCAATGATTCTCTCTCATCGTTGATGTTTCTGTCTTCCTCTCCCTTCCTCTCTAAAATCAATAAATATATATTTTTTAAAAATCAATGAAATTCACTTTGTTATTTAATATATGATCACCTCAATTGATGCAAAAAAACCACATTTGGCCCTAGCTGGTTTGACTTAGTGGATAGAGCATCAGCCTGCACACTGAAGGGTCCCATGTTTGATTTGGGTCAAGGGCACATGCCCAGGTTCCAGGCTCCACCCCCATTAAGGAGTGTGCAGGAGAAGGCTGATGGATGATTCTCTCTCATTGATGTTTCTATCTCTCCCTCTCTGAAATCAATAAAAGTACATTTAAAAAATTTTTTGAAAAATTCAACACCCATTTATGATAAAAGCAGAGTAAACCTGGAATAAAAGGATATCACTCTGATAAAGGGCATCTGAGAAAAACCTGTGCCCAACATTGTAATTAAAGTGAAAACGATCATTTCCCCGCTGAAATTAGTAATAAGGATGTCACCCCCTCACCACTTTAATTCAGCTTGTTATTGGAGGTCATGGGTGGTGTAATGAGGGAACAAAATACAGGACATAACGATTGGAAAGAAGCCCTAGCTGGTTTGGCTCAGTGGATAGAGTTGGCCTGCAGACTGAGGGTGCTGGGGTTCGATTCTGGTCAAGGGCACATGCCCAGTTGCAGACTCAATACCCAGTAGGGGGTGTGCAGGAAGCAGTTGATTACTGATTCTCATTGTTGATGTTTCCGTTTCCCTCTCCCTCTCTGAAATCAATAAAATATTTTTAAAAAATTTTAAAAGATTGGAAAGGAAGAAGTAAAAACCATGTATTCACAAGTTACATGACTACCTAGGAAAATTTAAGGAATCTACAGAACAATTCCTAGGCCCAATAAGTGAATTTAGCAGTGTTGCATAAAACAAGGTCAAAACAAACAAACAAACAAAAAAACACTTGTATTTCTATCTACTATCAACAAACAATTTGAAAATGAAACCTTAGAAACAATTCTATTTAGAGTAGCACCAAAGAACATAAAATAGTTAAGGGAGAGAAACGTTGATCAGCTACCTCCCTCATGCACCCCAACCCAGTATGTGCCCTGACACCGGGGATCAAACTGGCCACCTTTTGGTATACAGGACAGCACACCAATTGAACCACACTGGCCAGGGCAAAACCTGTACTGTTAAAACTTAAAATACTACTGAGAGAAAATATAGAAAACAAATTCATAGATTAGAATTCAATGTTGTTAAAATGTCAATTCTCCCAAAGTTTATCTATAGGTTCAATGCAGTCCTGGTCAAAATCCTAATCGTGTGTGTGTGTGTGGCAAGCGGGGGAAATTGACATTTATTCTTATGTCATAACAAAATGCAGAGATCCAGTATAATCTTTACAAAGCAGAATAAAGCAGTGTCAGCGCACAAATGGAACTAATTAGAGTTAAAAATACACCTGCATACATAGTCAATTGATTTTTTTTTTTACAAAGGTGGCAAGCTATTCAATGGGAGCAGGAAAAATTTTCAACAAATGAAATACTTTGTGAGGTAACAATTAGAAGTAAAAAAATGAAACATTGACCCCCTACCTCATAGCACAACAAAATTTAATTTGAAATTATCATAGACCTAAATGTCAAAGAAATAAAAGACAGAATACCTTGATGACCTAGGAGTAGGCAAAGATTTATTAGAAGACACAAAAAGCAGTACACAGAGAAAAAACTGAAGTTTGGATTTCACCAAAACAAACTTTTGCTCAAGACACCTTCAAGAAAATTAAACGGTAAATCACAGACTAGGAGAAGACATTTGGGATACATATATTTGACAATGGGCTTGTTTCCAGAATAAATAAATAAACCTGTAAATCCATAATACTAACAAAAACCACTCGGGCAAAACCGAGGAGCCAAATGCTTCACACACCAAAAAAAAAGAGAAAAAAAAAGTGGCCAATAAGTACATGAGAATGTGTCCAACATCATTAATTATCGAGGAGTTAAAAATTAGAACCACAATACACCAAGTTACATAAACAAGAAAACTGGCCAGGGTGTGTATTTACTGGGTGTGTATCTAGTTCCTTCCTCTTACTCTGCCGGTGGGAACGCAAGTGGTAATGATCTGGGAAAACAGGTGGCAGTTTCCTGTGAAGTTAAACATACGCCCGCAAAAACCGGGGGAAGCGGTTCCACTGTAAACGTTTCTGAAAACTCAGAATTGTACCATTCAAATCTGAGTACTTTATTTAATCTAAACTTTACCCCTATGTTAGCAAAACAAAAAAAAATAAGATAAAATGAAAATCAAAAAAGCAATTCCCACGGGTCCCCACAGGTGGGGAAAGCAGGGAGCTGGAGAGGAAAGGAAACCGCGTGGGGAAGGCGGGGCGGGGAGGCTGCGCGCTGGCGTTGCCCTGCCCCTCTCCGCTAGTTGCGGTTTCGATTTCCCCCGCGGCTCTGCCTCTCCCCGCCGGCATCCTGAAAAAGCGCCTCCTGCTCGCTGTGCGCTTTAAAAGCGGGGCGCTGGTGCGGTGGGCCTGTGCGGGAGCCCAGCTGCAGGCATGACGGCCGAGGAGCGGCGGAATCTGCACGCCTTCCGGGACTATGTCACCAAGATTCTGGACCCCACCTACATCCTGAGCTACATGGCCCCCTGGTTTAAGGAGGGTGAGTGGTCGGCGTGGCGCCCCGCTTAGGACAGGAAACCTGTTCAGGACGTGTTTTCCCGTTGGTTTTTTTACCCCTTCTTTTAATCAACACGGGTAGCCTGCTGGGAACGCGGGGTTTGTGGCAAGATCCCCACAGCATTTCAGACTAGAGCAGTGGTTTCCAACGTGGGGCACACGCCCCTAGGGGGGCAATTTGATTTTGAAGGGGGGCAATTCAAGAATGAGTTATTAACAGTGAAGTTTTTGCATTTCTTGTGGTTCTAAGGGCCTCATATACAGTATGTAAATATATATTGTGATATATTTATGGATTCCAGTTTTGAAACTTTATTTGCTATTTTTTCATACTTCATATTTTTTTTAACAATTTCTTCCTCAGTACTTCAACTGTCCTTTTGTTCTTTTATTTTTCTCTTTCATGGATGTCATGTTCTTTGGAAGCTTGTTTAGACCAAGTTAATGGCCTTTTAGGCTTCCTCCACGTGAATAGAAGTTCACTTTTTGAATAATAAGAATTATATGTCACGGGGGGGTGGGGGTAGGGGGCATCAGGATTTTAGAGATGCTTAGGTGGGGCATGGCCAAAAAAAAGGTTGGGAACCACTGGACTAGTGGTTGTCAGAGTTTGAGGGTGACCTTGAGGACCCAACTGGGGAAACTGAGTCTCAGTGAGGTGAAATGACTTACTTAGGGGTACACATCTATTTAGATTCAAAGCTGAAGAAACAAGTCGCTGTCCATTTATTTCTATTAGTAGTTATGGCTACTGTTTTGTGCTGACATCAGCGATTCAGAAATAAGATACAGGCCCTGCCTTTAAATACTTTACAGCCCACGGTGTTGGGGATGGGACACGGGTGAGGACAGATGTACACAAATGATTACAAAACACTCAGTGACTCTGCAGGTCACTTCCAAAATAACTGAAAATGTGCGAAGGAGACTTGGACTGAATGACTTTAGGCTTTAATTCAGGTGTTTCCATTCAGCTTTTGATGCATATGATGATGGATAATGGTCATTAGGTACATTTGTATTGAAATGCCTTTTTTTAAATATACTTCATGGTATATTTTATTTATTTTTACAGTGAATAATTTTTTTTTACTGATTTTTTTTCTTTATTGATTAAGGTATTACATATGTGTCCTTATTCCCCCCACCCATTGCCCCCCCACCCCCCCCC